TTTTCATTTTGGCAAGGGAACAAGGTCAATGGACAGGTGAGTGAGCAAAGAGGAAAAGCCAACTGGCTTTTACCTCGTTTGCCTTTTGATTTATGATTTATGTTGTATTGGGAGGGGGAAAGGCAGCAGAAAAGGTTCCTACATTTTCTAGTGTGTCACTTGTCAGCGGGTGACAGGGCTCTTGCTTGGGATGGGCATGAGCTTGGCTGCTCACCCACTGTAGGGGTTTTTTGTCTTGACCACCCACTGTGGTGCAGGTGTGTCCTCAGGTTGGTCACCCAGCTGTCGGGTCTGCTGCCCGGGGGACGTCAGATGCAGAAGAAACCTGGGAAGGACATCAGTCTCCAGCAGTCAGAATCCCTTTTGGAAAGGATGGCTCTTAGTTGCAGGGCCACAAGGAGCAAGGATGGATTAGCTGGCCCAGGCGAGAGCTGTTACATCCCAGCCACTGGTGCATCCCCACCCTGAGAGTCCTCTGGAGCCCATCTGCCCTTCTGCAATCCAGGCACAGTTATACCAGGGATTTTCCCTGAATCCTTGCTGCAAAGCAGGTGGGCTGCTCACCAAGGTCACAGAGTACAGCACTTAAAGCACCAAACCTAGTGCCCACAAAGCTCAGGCCTGAGGTCTTTAAATAGACTTAAGAAGGGTTTCAAGGCAGCATCTACATGGGCCCAACTGTAGCGAAGATACTTATTAACTCAGTTCAGGCTTGAGTCCATAGATTGAAGCATTTTATTCAACAGAATAAACCAGCACAGGGGTTGAAAGGTAAGAGGGATCATTGATCATTGGTATCTTTCATACTCATGGCAACATCTAATATCCATGTCAGAATAACTGCAGTAACACTAGTCTAGGTGATAGGTACTTCCCACCTTTCAGACGACAAACTAGCCACTGCTATTGGGGACACAGGATTGCATCCAGAAACACTGCATCTTGTGGAGAGAAATGAACAGGTTTTGCTGGCTGCAAGGGAAAGTTCTCCTTGCTGCATTTGTCCTTCACCAAAAGTCTTAGGGCAGGAGAGCCACTTCCAAGTTGAAGGCACGCAAGACCATGCCTTGAATCTGTGAAGATTTTATGTGAGCTTGTTCTCCAAACTTTCCTGACTTCTTGGTCCATTCAGCAACGTGTTGGGAAAAGTACTGGATCTGATTTCATGCCCCTATAGGGCCTGGGGAATGTCTGTAGCAAAGGGAGAAATTACTCAATTTGAATCTTGACGTGACTTTAAGAGAATAGAACTCCCAAGCAAGTCCCCAGCATATCCCTGGGTTTCTTGTGCTCACTTCTCAGGCTTTGCTACGCAAAATGAACAGTGCTTTTCTTGTGGATACTAAGAATAACTTCCAGGCCAAGTTCCAAGGTCAATCCATCCATCTGACTTTTTCCATCTATATGAATTAACTGTCTTCAGCACAAACCTTAACAGTGCAAATGCATCACTGCTAGAGCATATTTAGAGAACAACTTCAGAATCACTGAACACATTACATTACTGTGTTACTTGCACAGAGGCAGGATTCCCTGACATTACAATACAATTGCTATTTGGGTTCAGTTACCACTGTGGCTTCCCACTCTCTTTTTTTCTTTCAAGGTTACTCCTTTGCAACAGAAAAAAAAAAAAAAAAACCAAAAAAAAACCCAGTAGCACAAGGGGTATTTTCCTGGGATTCCCTTGAACATTCTTTGCTTGTGACCAATTGAAGAGACATTTGTGAATCTGATTGTTGTGTGTTGTCATGGCTACTTTTCCATCTTCCTGGGGTAGGGGTAGGCTTTCACTTAGGGGCACTGCAGTTCCTGTCAAGTGGGTTTTCCTTTTTTTTTTTTTGTCCTTCTCCACATTCACATGAAAGTGTCCTTGCTTTCATCTTTCTAGCCTGCTCCTTCCTGTCAGATCCTCTGTCTTGGTTCAAAGGGTCCTTCTGCCAGCAGGCTAATGCACACCTGGTGCAACATAGGAACAATTCACTCCCAGGAAAACAATGGGAAGTATGTGCATTCTCATCATCACCAACGGTTTCCTGCAATGGAAAATAGCTCAAGGTTTCTAAGGGTCTCTTATCCCACAACAAAATAAGCCCATGGGCAGATGTAAAATCAACACATGTCTATTTTGGCCTTGAGCCTACTACTGCCAATATTGTCTTCTTTGGGAAGTTAATTCCTTTGTATTACCCCCTGCTTCCCTGTGCTTGGACTGTCTTCTTTGTAGGACCCTGTCTGCTTAGTGCAGTCCAAGGGTGAAATTAGTGCTTTCCCTTTTAGCAAAGTATTTTCTTCATATGACATTGCTTCTTTGGCTGTGATTGCCATTCATCACACTTACAGTAAAAGACCTCCTTGGTATTGGCACATTCTGACTGCTTCCCATTTGGGAAACGGGTATGGCAATTCTTCTGTCTCTCCTAGGGGCATTCTGAAAAAGCTGTGTTGAATTATCCTAGCCTCTGGTCTGTATGATTAGTATATGTGATTACTGCCTGTCATCCAGGTAGATTTATGTAGACAGGCAGCATAGGGTATAAGATGGACCATCCAAAAAGGGGACAACTCATTTTTAACAAGTGCTCGGTGGTCACTTTGACCTGAGAGCAGGGGCAAACCTTGTGCTTTCCTGGTTTACCAGGAACACCTGTTCTACCTGTGAGCAGGAAATATCTCTTGGGGGATTCTGCAATGGTGGGAGGCATACATGCCATGAGGGAAGAATTTGGACTCCATCCAGTCTGTCTATGGAGCAATCACTTGTAATCATTGCTAATCCAATGAGAGTAGTAAATAGTTATGGATGCCTGCATAGATTTATTGGTCTGAGGTGAAATCAAGTGGCAAAGATAAAGCAAGGGACAATATTTACCAATGCTGATGTTTATGGAAAAACTAGAGTGTGTTCACATCTATTTTGAATGTTTTTTTGAGAGATACCTGAGAAGTCTCTATTATGGATATATCTTCATAGGGGTAATAAGTTTTTCTCTTAAGCTAATATTCTAAAGGGATAGATTAAATTAAAGGTTCATTTAAAAACTATTTCTTTTCCCTTGGAAGGTGAAAAATATTTTTCACTTACACTGCTGCAGTCCATCATGATGTTTATATTTGCATGTGTAATTTGGTTATCTAGTGCTACTTCAAGCTCAGTATTATTCATTTCTGATGAGTAAAGAACAATTTGAGCTCTGGCTCTTTACACTAAATTATAAATTAAACCCATCAAGTAAAATCTTTCCCCCATTAATTTTGACATTACAAATGCCATGGATGTCCTTGGGGACAGGGTTCTACTCAATACTCTTAAACACTCACCTAAGAGCTTGCAGAGTCCTCACTTTACTGGCCATCTATGAGCCAGAGGCTCTCCTTGTGTTTAGCAATTACAAGTGACTCCAGTGAAGACCTTAGTCTTCAAAGTTTTGTTGCAAAAATGCTGCCCTGCTTTTCATATTCCAAGAGCAAAACTGGTTAAAGGAGAGAAATCTGGGCTGTCCACGCTGTTTGCATGTGGTTGATACTCAGGGTCAGTGTTTCCCTGCGCAGTCAGGCAGTGATAGATTTTTATTTGCCCAGTTCTATCTCACAGCAACAGAGAAAGACCTTATAAACATGGGAAAATCTGACACCATAAAGCTAGCAAGGGAAACTGTCCAGTCTTTTAGAACTAATATATATGCATGCATTTAAGGAATGGCATATTATGGAGCTGAGACAAAAATCTATTGAAACATATCAGAATTGTGAAGTGAGACATTGGGTTATGGATGGATGCTGTTTTCTGACTAATAAACATCCTTTGTGGTTGGCTTTGGCTTATTTTATCTCTTTATTTTTCACTCTCACTATTCAGTAGGGGGTTTTGGGTTCCTTGGACTCTGCACAGGATCAGTCATTTTCTCCCTGTGGCATTCTCAGCAGACCATCTTCATCCTTTGTCTATTCACAGCTGACTGGGTGCACTGAAGTGTTCTTATTCTTTCTGTTTCCTAAAATCTTAGTTGTAGAGAGAAAAATCAGAAAAAGAGGGCAACTAACTGGGCAGGTCCCTGTAGGGAGCCCAAGGACCTTGCTTTTGTTGAAATTGCTTGGAGCTCCATGACGTTAATATTTCCACCTGATAAGTCAGCCAGACACAAGAGGTCATGGTTAGTTTTTACTGAAATGATAGAAGAGTTTTCTTGGGTATTGTTTTGTTTTGTCTTCTGTTTGTTTTAATAGAAATCTTGACCAGAGCCAGAACCAAATGGCAGTGTCTGCACCCAGCTTTTTGGCAGCAGCAGCCCCCTTTGCACCTGCATTTACTTGCCTGCATTTAGGGTGGAAGCAGCGAAGAGCCCTTCACAAGGGCTGTGAGTATAGGACAGCAACTGCACCTGAACAGCAAGAGTCTCTGCACATGAAACTGAGATCATCTTCCCTGTTTGCAATAGCACCTGCCTACCCTGCAAATTAATCTCTGGGAGCCTGAAGATGGGCACCCAGAAAATGAGGTACATACACCGGCAGTATGTGACAAATTTAGATTAGGAGTGATCTTTCACAGCCAGAGTTGATACTCATTTCTGAACTCATGGGCAGCAAATACTTACTGACATCAGTGGGAGCACAACAGGGGCTTGCCTTGCCCACAGTTACTGTATTAAATGACATATAACTCAAAAGGTCTTGGATGAAATTTATTATTTTACACCAAACACATCAGTTTACAGTGATGTTTTGCTCAAGACAAACCCTGAAGAAGTGATAAGATAATGGAAATCAGGAGAAAGAGAAAAAAAATTTAAATCTAGATTATTTTATTATTGATTTTTTTTTAGTCGAAATACATGCAGATAATTTTGTTCCAATTCCACAGAAACAATCCCTCTTTGCAAAAGAAATTTCAGATCCCACCATTTCCAGAACAAACCATGCACTTGGAAGGTGTTATCACAGAAACTATGCTCACTGTTGAGTAAAGAGAATTTCCCTCTTATTTCTTATCATTAATACAGGTCCTTAGCTGACCTGCTGGATTTTCCTAGTAGTTTGTTGGTGGTGCTAGTCAAGAATATTCTGCTGTCTCCAGGTACGTGCCTGAACTGACATGTTTCTGAAATGGCTTCTTCAAACACTGTTCCATTGCTTTTTCAGTTTGGGAATTAAAATGGAAAGTGCTTTCACTCCTTAATATAGAAAGAAAAATGGAAATTTTATATTGAAATATTTAAAGTGGTTAAATTAGCAATCAGCACAAAGTGAGTTTGGTCCATTTTTTAAAAGCAGCCCCCCAATAACAGGCAAATTACAGGTCATCAGACTCAGATCCACTCTCCCTTCTCATTTTGATGAGATTTTGTGGCTCTTTCATTCATTTATGGTAATGCGTCAAATTATGCTTTAAGAAAGTTAGAAATGAAGACAAGAGATGCTGCTTGTTTGAAAGTATTTTGCATAATGCAATGACTTTTAAGTTTGGGTAATGCCAAAGATTGATAATGCAGTCTAGAAGCAAATAAAATGCTGACATCCTCTGCAAGCTTTTCATCTGTAGATAAATATCTTTGCTGCCACTGATATATGCATCTTTGTCCAGCTTTGTCCAGCTGTGTGCTCTAGTACAAAGCCATCATTTTATTCTTTAGACAGCCCAAAATTCTGAAATGTATAGGCCAGCAATTTGTTATACTTAGTGGCCTGATAGAGATTTCTGAATGTTATGTGGACATACCAGAGCAAAGAGATAATGTGATGATCAAAATCAACATGTATAGGAGTACTTCCCATGCAGTATTTTCCTTTTTTTTTCCTAGCCTGAAACTAGCTAACCCTTCAGACATGTACATTGGTAGTAACAGAGGTATGCTTTCATTACTGCTGATGGCAACCCCCTCGGTAAATAATGTTTTCTCCAAAACCAGTTGTTTAGAAAAATCATTAATTAACTTGTGCTTCCATGAACAAAGGGCACTTCAATTATTATTTTCCCTTGTCTTTTTCTGATGTTTTATTTAGAGACCTGTTTTTTGTGATATTCATTGTTCTAACTCTATTTGGTAAGTGTATTACCATATCCTCTACCTGACAAGTCATCTATAATACCATTCAGAGAAATGATGGCTAAACGAGTCTGGGAAAGGGTGTGTTTCTCTTATTTGCTGGCCCTGCTAGTCGTGAGGTGTCAGGACAAAAAGGGAGATTTCACTGTTTCACTTCCTTGGTTCTTGTCTGCTTATGGGTATTTTGAAAGCACAGGCAGAAGTGTCACTGAGCCAGTGCAAAATCCTGTGGGGCACTAGGACTGAACCCATCCCTCCCCAGGTAAAACATGGCCCCAAATGCCTTGGGTCAGCTTTTCAGGGGAGCGAGGAGCAATGGTCCATAGCAGTCTCACACTCTCCAGGTGTGGTCTGTGAGGCACAAATTCCATGACTCCCCCCCACCATCCCCCAACTCCCCTCCCAAAACAAGAGATGCAGCTGGGTTGGGAGGCTGGCAATCAGCGTCCATGGATGACCAACACTCAAATGCTGCTGGTGAAGAAAATGCTGCAGTATCCTGAGGTCAAGCACTGACCTAGAATAAGCTGAAGGTCTTGATGTGCCATGGTATGAGGCCAAAGCACATGTCAGTGTTTAAAAGCAAGCATTGCTTGTGGTGGCTCATAAATATTATACTTGTCATCTTTCCCCCTCCCGGTAGACCTAGATACTAGGCAGGTTTAACTCAATTTTAAATCTGCTATGTCTATGACTGAAATCATAATATTTATGCAGGGTAGTTTTTCAAGAAGCTTAGTGAATGTGAAAACAAGTTCCTGGGTTTTCCCCTTTCATGGAAGCAAGCTGAAGGTCAGATTTACAACATCTCAAGCTACATTCTGTGCTCATTTACACAGCTGTAATCTTGAGTTATGCCACTGAGGACAAGCAATTGCTCCAGACTTACAGGATATAACTGACAGCAGAATTTAGCTTGGGGTTGCAAAGCTTGACAGAAAAGGTGCTGCAAGGGTGGAATTTGGTGCTCATGAAGTAGCTTGTATATATTCAAGGAATGTATGAGCCCAAAGATTTATTAGTAGTGTTTCAGAGCATTATTGAAATTAGACCTAATTATCTGTGTAATTTGCTGGAACCAGCATTTTAGCATTTTTGATCAAGTATATGCTATTAATTTAAAAAAGAGATGTACCAGGCTGCTCTCAAAAAGCAAAATTTAAAAAAAAAAATTAAAAAGAAAGCCCATCATTTCTAAATAATGTGTTTAAAAAATTTCAAAGGTTATTGTTGGTTGAGTCTTTCTCCCCCTTTGCAAAACAGTCCATTTGCCATCTAATCATATGGAAAAAAGTTCACATCTCCCCCAAAGGTTATTCCAGCAAGCAGAGAAAAGAGTTGCCTCCTTGTTCCCAGACTAGCTCTGCCATCCCTCTCCCTTTTGTCCTTGCTCCAGCCCCACTATGCCACTTGGAACTGGTGCTGGCTGTCTTTGGATGAAGGAGCAGAAGACAAAGCTGCGAGCAATAACCAACCTGCTCCTTTGCAATTAAGAAAGTGCGAGGCTTCTGTTCAGACCTGTACCCCGTTCTCTCTGTTCAGGCATGATCCACAGGTACTGCTTGGTTTGAAGGTATCATCTCCATGCCTAAGCCTCTGTTTCTGCTGTGGCTTCTTGCCAGCCTTTTGGTGCCTGTGGTCACCTGAGCTCCCCGCAAAGAGGAATGTTCTTGTGATGAAAACAACAGCCATGCAAAGGTGCAGTGCACCTTGCTTTTCTGCTGGTTTCTTTGGAAACTTTGGAGAAGATCCTTTACTAGTCTCTTCGTCATGCATTTAATAGTAACAATGATGCTTACCTCTTTCTGAAAGTGTGCTTTGAGGATACAACCATTGTTGAATAGCTTGAAGCTTACATGACACTAAAGTTGAAGGCAAGAGGAAAGACAACACAGCCAGGTTATTAGCCATCTTTTTTTGCCAAGCCTCTGCTCAAAGAAGCCTTTGGTTTGGGACAGATGCTGTGTGGTGCTTTTTTTGTGGTCAGCACTTCTCTAGTTCAGATTTTCACTTCCTTTTTTTTCTTTTTCTTTTTCTTTTTATACATTAACCCCAGCCTCCATGTAGGTCTCCAGCAGCATAAACATGGTCAGCACGTCATTTTGGGAGGCAAGCAGTAAACATGAAGGGGGAGATGCTCTTATTGAAATGTTCTACACACTGGCTCAAACGGTGGAGAAGCATCAGCTCAGACTTTCCCAGTAAATGATTAACTTTTGTTTGCACAGAGGAGAGAGCCACAGTAAGAATGCAATTAATTACACTGGCAGTCCAGCCAGGCCAGCAGTCAGCAGTGCTCTCGCTCACTGCTCCTGGCTCTGCAGGTCTGATTTGAGAGTAACTAATTAAACACAGGTGCAGGCTAGCAGACTTGTTGAATTAGTGCAGCGTCTTCTTTTTGGTGTTCCCAGGCATTTGTAGCTCACAAAAATAGAGCAGGCACTTGGTCCTACAAATAATAATAGAGTGCTGATGACGGAGGTAATTAATCCTTTATTACTGTGCTGTGATAGGCTGCTGCTAGGGCTGTCATTCAAGTACTTCTTATGCAAAAACATGTCTCAGAGGTGAAAGAACATGGAGTAGGAGAAAGACAGAGGAGTGTTCTAATGTATTTGCTTGTGTTATGGGCACAAATAGATCTTCACGGTTTTGGCAAGATTGTCAAAACTGGTAGTCAAAACTCAAGACCAGAAATTCCCTGCACTATATTCTGGGTTCTACCTTTCACTCACCAGGGCACTTTTAGCAGGCAGCAGCTTAAAATAAAAATTCGGTCTCATTCAAATGATGCACAACCATGAAAGAGAAACTCAAGGCCGTAACTGTAGCTCACTGTGGCCTGTATTTTCTCTTTTATTGCTTCCTGCAGATCCTCAGTTGGCCATCGTCATTAACAGGCTACTGATTCCAGTGGACCCTAGGTTTAACCCCAGCATTGCTTTTTGTGATGGTGCAGGGGGTGATTGTCTTGCTTTAAGGGAGACTGGCACTGAGTGGAGGTAATGCAGCTGTCCAAGGAGCTGCAAAAAGAGCAAATACTGTTTAGGGTTATTTATTTCCAATAACAAATGCTGTTCCCCTTACTGGTTCAAAGCAAGCTGCAGGACTCCAGTATCTTTTCCAACTAAAATTAAGGGTAAACTGTGAAAATGTTATCAGCCTTCTCTCTCTGTTGTCTTTTACTTGTTTGTAATACCCCTTCTTCCCAGACACAGGAATTTTGGGATTTTATGAGATGTCAAGAAGGAAAAAACCTTTTGTAGTAGTTGCCCCAAGGAGTGCCAAACATTAAGATACTTCAGCCTCAATACAAGGGAAAACCCCAAAACACAATCTATGTGTTTACCTTAAAGACAAGGAGTGATTTCATGTTCTTCTTGTTACTTCATGATGAAAATGGTCCAATGCCATTAGGAATGTTTATAGTAGGAAAATAATGCCAAGTCTAATAAATGACCAGATAGGACAGACCATGTTTTATTTAGTGTGGGAACCAAACACTGCCATATTGTACAGATTTGCTGATCTGGAAGAATCGTTCTTGCCTTACAGAATGCAGCTCAAAAGCCGAGCGCATGAATATGACAGCTTTCTCTTTTTTAATGCAGAGAATTTTAAGACAGAAACATTGCTTGGAGAGTTTTCTAAGGGATTCTGATCAACTTACGTAAGTTCAGGAAATCAGCAATAATTTGTTATCCTTCCATATTTTCCAGTGGCTTTTGTTTTTCTTGCATCACAATTCTTATCCTATTAGAGACAAATAGTATTCAAGTATTTGGATTCTAGTATTCTAGTATTCTTCTACAAATTTTAATGCTAACTCCATGGTAGGTAAATAGCTGAGAGCAGTTCTTAGAGCAAGGATAATTTCTGATTCTTTTCTTCCTTTTTGCTAGTTACTTGTGGCCCTGTGGGAAATTTACATGGTGGAGTGTTTGCCCTCACAGGGCACATAAAAGGTTTGTAAAAACACTTTTCTATGACCATGTGTATTTTTAAACAGCATGAAACATTGCTGACCTTCTCCTGGCTGTGGGTCCTGATGGGAGAGAGCTGGGGAGGGTGAGGCCCTAAATTACTGCTCAGCTTACAGAAAATTGGAGTGTGTGTGTGCATAACCAACCATGGGCTGTGCCTGCAACAAGCATGATTTTTTGCTTTCTGAACTCTATGATCTGAAATTTCCAGGAAGCTGCTCTTTGCTGCTGACAGTTGCTATAGGGGTGATGGCAGCAGTGAGGTGGTTTTTGTTCATGTCTTCTTGTCTTCATTAATTTCCAGTGTGTCATTTCAGCTGAAAATATGCAATTGCTCTTAATGTGTTCAAAAGCATGATGTTGGCTAGGTGGTTACTTATGTCACAGTAAATATTTGATGAGGAGGTGTGTTATTTTTAGCCACAATGACAACATATTATTGAAATTTATAGGCCTGAAATAGGCATCTACCACATGATCGTTTGTTACCTTTACAGTTTCCTGAGGGTTTTTTCCAATTTCCTTCACAATTTGAACTGAAAAGGTGGTGATTCACAGTGTTGGTGCAGATTGTTGCACACAAGCTGCACACTGGGGGCAAACATCAAGCCTCAAATCGCAGGACCCATGCTGATGGGGGATTCTGCAGCCACTGAGGCAACAAACCCATAAAGGCTGTGCAAATACGTGAATGTACAAATGGATCTCAAAGCTGTGATTTTCATATTCCAGCAATCACTGCCGTAGGAGTGCATGACTGACAGCACAAAGGACTTAGATTTACTGCAGAGAGATGTAAATTGATAAGCCAGTAGACAGCCATCATTCTTCCTTTATTCTCTCTCTGTATCCCATGTCTTTCTCTGCTGGCATAATCAAAGCTGACACAGTGCATTCTGTACCAAGTTATATTTTTCGTAATTATAAGACAGTACATGAGATCTGAAGTTGTTATTCAAGAAATGGCACAAAGCTCAGTGAAATGCAGGTTTTCAGATTGATCCTCTGATAATATTGTTTTTCACATAGATTCTGGATACTCAGACTCTACATCTATGTCTTTAAGCTGTCTGGGTGCTTTAAGAAGGGATAAGTACAGGAGAAAAAAGAAAAAAAGAGGGTGCTTTTCCTTTTGTGTAGAGGAAAAAAATTACAAAGCATGAGATCCTGGCTTTCTTTCTCCTTACCAGCAGCTGAATCTGAAGCATTTTGCCACACTGTTTCTAAAAATGTTTGTAGGGAGCTGACTTGGGGGGAAGAGTTACAAGAATTCAAGAAACAAAAATAGAGAGATCACCCCTAAAGACCTAGATGAGCAATCAGCCTTCCCCTCAGCTGACTGACTGGTGTGGCACACCTCTCATGTCTTGAGGCCAAAGGGTCTTTTTCCACTGATTCATCTCATTAGGCTCAGCTGCCTCTAACTAGAATTGCAATGTTTTTAGATCTAAAAAGAACAGACTATGAGATATAATGGAGTTGTTATAATACAGACGCATTTGGAAATCTCATTTTTCCTCAGGTCTGAAAAAGTGTGGTAATATCCAAACGCTAATATTGCAGCCCTTTGACCTCAGATGTGTACGGCTGAAAATTCAGATCCCACCTGCACCCAGTGAACATGCGACTTGAAAGAAGGCAAATGAATGAAGCCTTCCATGCTCTGGAGCTCCAGCAGAGAGGTGCTGTAGATCACCTGGGAAAATCCCAGTGCTGTGAGTAATTTTCCATGTAGTTTAATTTTTAAATTCTCTGGCATTTTAATTGAATTAATGAAAACAGCAAGGAAAAAGAAAAATTATATCTGGATTTTTACTTAAAACAGATTGAAACTAGTAGGAAAAATGGGACTATCTCACTTGATAAAGTAGATGTTATTACTTTTCACTGAAAAACTGTTGTCTCTTTCAATGTCAGACTCTTTTTGCACTTCCAGAAATTAACTGAGAAGGCTATAGCTATACTTCATGGATGTTTATGTGCAGGCTGTGTCTGCTCACTGGGATTCAGACTCATGATATCTCAAGTCTTGCTTCGCCTCACTGACCTACATGCACAATGACCATAAGGCAGAAAGCAAGGTCTTTCTCTTCCCTTTTGTCTTTAATATAGGAACCTTCTTAATCCCAGTAGCTCCTCTGCTTAAATATAGTTAACAAGTAGTTTTAAACCAGCAGAATTTATTTTTTCTTTGAGCAATTAACTCAGCTGCCAGAACTGGGAGCCTTTTTATGTTAAATTGCTTCTGTAGTTGATGGAAAAAGAAAGATGCTTCTGATAGGAGATATGGATCTTAGTTGTCCTTTGGAAGCACCTGGTCCTTGATGCAGATGGCACCTGATTTCAGCATCTCAATTTTAAATGCTTCTAGTTCAGCAGGACAGACCTAGAGCTCTTCATGCTGCTAGGAGCTTGCTGGGGACGTGTGAAGAAAAGCATTGCTGCTCATGCACTCCTGTCAAAAGGTGCAGCGGATACATGGCTCTGTAAGAGCTGCCCAGTTGGACACTGCCAAATGATTTTACATAGGTGACTGAAAAAAAAAATCTTCGGAGTACCTATGCCAAATTGCTGTGAGCACAGGTTACATAGAAAGAAAAATGCAAAATCTTATGACTAATTTCCTAGGCCATCCAATTCACAGGCATCCATGCCAAAAATATTTTTACTAGACTATTTTCTTAACAGGGTCATTATGTCTCCTTCAAGGTAATTCTTAAAGAAAGGGTTTACTTCTCCTCACTTTTTCATGTCTGTGTCTCTGGCAGGAGTAGGCCTTTGGGAGCATCTTAGGAGTGAAAGTGTAAGAAACCAGAATGCCTGCTGCATGTTTGTTGCTGCATATTCCTTCAGAACTTGCTTTTGAAATGCATATTGGTTACAAAATAAACCCCAATGAGCCATTATACTCTGGTGTGTAATTATGTATTTAGGACACATACTACACACAGCTTTAAAAGAAATCTGTATGGAAACAAATTGCATTACATTTGCAAATAGCTGAAGGTAGTTGAGCAGCAACACCTCAAGCCTTTCAAAATACTGAAGTAATTTACACCATTTTCTAAAGTAATTATCTCCCAAGCATCAGATTCCAGTTGTTTCAATGCCTTTGCTGCAGAGGAGCTGCAGAGATCTCAGTACAGAATAAAAGACCTGCTCTTGGCTGTCTAACAGCCTTGACATAGATGTAGTGTTTCTGCTGATGTAGCATGGCAGAGCAGGACTGCTGGCCTTTGGATGAGAACGCTACTTGGGCTTAACACCCCATGCTGAGAGCAGAGACATGTGCCAAGTATAGAGGCACCCCTGGGGCAAGGGTGAAACCCCACTTTATGTCTCCCCGAAGTTTAGTGAGGAGCAGAGATTTAAGTCTTCGTTGGATAGTTCTGTGATTTACTGGAGTGATGGATTTACTTTTGTGGGCAGCCTCGGGGATGGAGAACCCTCTGGCTTCTTATTTCAGGGTTTTGAACTGCCACTAGAGCAAGACAGTGCATCTCCCCAGCTCTGACAGTGTTGTACCACTTATTTTTCCTCTTTAACTGGTGCTTGGCAAAGTACCTGCCTCTCAGGGGTCCAATCCTTGGAAATAGCCGTGTGTGACAGAAATGGCAGCAGGCATTCCGGTAAGGATGCTGTGTGCCTGCCTGGGCTGATGGTATGGAACAACATCAAGCGTGCTTCCCTGCCTTGAGAGAGCAGTTCCTGCATTAAATCTACAAAATGCCTTTCTGTGCACAGTGCAGTTGGAAATGTTAAGAGTCATGCTTATTAGCACTGGCACATATAAGGCAGAGCTGCAGTAAATGAGTTAAGTGTCCTGAGGATTTGAGGACTGGGGTGTTGCTTTTCCTTTTCTGGAGCTGAGCACTCGAGAGACTTTCATTAAACCTGGGACTTGGCAGATCCTCATGCTGATTCTGCCACTTATTTGTTGTTCGGCCCCAGGCTAGTCACTTAACCTCTTGCCGCCCTAATTTCCCCATCTGGAAAATTATATTTACTTACCTCTCCTGGGGATTGCACGGGGCTTAATGAATGCCTGTAAGGGATTCGAAGATCCTCAGATCTGAGATGATAAAGGACTGCAAAAGATTCACTGCATGTGCAAGGAGGAGGGGATGTGTGCCCAGGCAGGAGAGCCTGCCTGTGCTCCTGGCCCAGAACCAAGTCTGAAAATCTAATCAGCAGGGGAGGATCGTACGCTCTGTTTTAGATTAAACCCTCTTCCTTGTGGCCTTTTCAGATTTGCTGGTTGAAGAAGGAGGCAAGTGACTGAATGGGGAGGAGGGCAGCTGAGGTTAACTGCTTTTTCCTGTTGGTCCCCTGGATCTTTTTTGTCAGTGCAATAACAGCTGGATCTCCCAGGAAGGTAATGATCTTCCTGGATACTCCATCTTGCTGCAGGCTATTAGAGAAGTCAGGCAGCCCTGTTGCTGCCCATTTCTTTAGCAGGAAAAAATGAACCTCTGACCAAAAAAAAAAAAAGTTCCTCCATATAATTAAGCAGCATTAGAATGAGGCCTGTGCCTTTGCTGATGAACTTCAGTGAAAGCAGATGGTCACAATGGTATTAAAAACTAAAGACTTCAGTCAAGCTTTTAATTGAAAACAATTGGACCCTGCTGGATGGTAATTACCTTGGCTGCTTGCAAATAATATCACAGCACTGCTACCTATGAAGGAAGAATGAAGACTGAGTTAATAAGAACTGCTTAATCTGCATACAATAAACAAGGAGCATCCAAAACCATTTTCTCTGGTAGTTTCTTCCCTGCAAGAGGCTTTTAAGTGGTTACCAGTGTGAAAAGGAACATGGAGTGGCAGAAATTGATACGTGTGAAATGTTTGCTGGGTTTATAAAATAACTTGAAAAGCCCATCTTCCCTCATCTCCCTCCTTTTTTTTGACAGCTGTAATTCCAGATGCATCTGAGAAAAACAGCAAAATATAATAAAGTGGAAAAGCTCTAGATTATCCAGTATTCCTCCTCTTCTGAATGGCAACAGTAATGAGAGGCTGTGTTTACATTGTTTTATCCTCTTTCTTCTTCCCTTGCCTGATCGACTGGAAGGCTGGGTCCTTCTAAATTCCCAGAGTGTTTTCCACCATGTTCTTAATTGGATTTTAACGATCATTAACTTAATATGCCTCAGTGTCTAAAAAAGCAAATGTAGTATGTGGCATATTTTGCCTGACAATTTTCTTATTTCTCTGCCTAGTGTGGGACCAGATAGGGTTAAAGGGCTAGATCACTTAAAAGGGTCCTGAGTCCTGGTGTGCTATGTATTTGCTGGCACAATAAGACATTAATACAGCTTTACAGTGTCTTCCCTGCTGTAGAAAAGAACCTGTGTGGCTGTGGATGTGCAGGTGGAAAAAACAGTTCCAGTGTTGTCTCTTTTAAACACAGGTCCTAGATGTGTATAGAATGAATGAAATCTTGTCACCTTCCATGTAAACACTATTTTTCATGCGCCTGTTCTCTTGGGCATCGCTTTTTGTTCCCCTGTGAGCAGACAAGATGCCTTGCTGCCCCAGTAGACCTCAGAAAGCAGCAGCTACTGCAATTTAGCAAAATTAATGAGTAGCTGTGAACTGTTAGTAAAAGTTATGCAATGATTTTTCCATAACATATCATTTTAGAAGCAGTGACTTGAACTGCTTTTTCTTTTCCTATCCAAATATTTGTCTTTTCAAGGCACCAGCCAAGAGTTTGTCTTGTCTTGTCTGGAAGTATGATGAAATGAACTTTTCCAGTGTGTTTCATTTGGATTTGATGATTTTATGCCTGGAGTTCAACTTTCATTCACTTAATGTCCCACGATTAACAGAGACAGTGAGGTCCTGAACCTGTGAAAGTCAGTAGAAGATCTCACAGTATCTTTGGTATGATTCTGCTTATTTTTATGTAACCAAAATATGCTTAAAGCTTTATTGCTGTAATGCCTTGGAAACTGCTTGCTGACACAGGTGTATTTCACAGAATCATTAAAGCTGATTCCTTCAGTTCCTGTACTGCCATCTAAGTTGAGGTATTCCTGTTTCTGCTTAGGACTTGCCCTTGGTCTTTCCTCTGCTGCTGGACAGCTGGAGAACAGATCTGCAGCTGATGAAGCTGGTGTCCTGCTCTGTCTCCTGGCTCTTTTGTTCAGGCTGGTGGCAGGGTCTGAGCAAAATTTTGCTTGCAGCCTTTCCAGCCCTTCCTTTATCAAAGAACTTGGGACAAATCTCAAAGACCTTCAAAAGTGTCTCATGGTAGTGCCTGTGGTGATTTAATCAATTTTATAACAGCTACTTTTAACTCTACAGATTTACTTTAAACTCTACAAAGTACAATCTTATTGTAATTACTGCTTGCAGCTTTAAGGAAGCTGGTGTGGACCATACTATTTTAAAGGTATAAGCTCTATTGATCTAAAGTATTCTGAGCAATAAACAGCTGCTCAGGTTGATTAAAGCTGAAGGGAAGCTGAAGCATTTAATCAATCTCCAAAGCTGCTCCAAGTATATTACAAAGCAATTGTGATTATTGCTATTATATGACAAGCTATATCATAATAAAGAACGAGGGATCATTTTTCTTGGAAGCATTTAGAGGTGTTGTGGTGCTTCTTCTCAGCCTGCCTCATGCTGTCACCTCTGAAGCTTGGCTAAGTGACAGAGCATACCACTCAAGCAGACTAATCTTGAAGGGAAAATACGA